CAGGCAAGTGGCAATTTCTATTTTTGTGAACTGGGACTAAATGAACAGAGTGTAGAATTGTAACTTAATAAAACTCAAAACTTACCTTGCATATATTTCATATATGACAATATGTTTATCAAATATAAAGAGCAAATAGCTCATTGACTTATATGGGAGAAATATATGACTACAATTAGTATTACCTTTAATACAGTCAAGCCAAGCGTTTTTTGACTCAACTGAAAAGAAAAAAATGACCTGAACGGAGTAGGAAGTTGCTGTAAGCTTGGGGTGACAGTCTCTGGATCTGGTCCACTGGGATCGAGGGAACAGATCAGGGAGAGAAATGGGAAAATCCAAGCTGCTGAGCTCCGTTTGCCCCTCACCCAGTTTGTTACCTAGAGGATGAGGCTGGGCCTAATATGGGCTAATCATGGACAGTCCAGGATTGGATATGTGGGGTTAAGGGAAAAGATGAGAGTAGAAGAAGAAGTAATTTCCACAGCAGAAGGGGATCTTGGTATCTGTTTTACTGCTTTCTTAATACCTCATATGAGAGTGCCTAACCCAAGAGACCACTTATCAAAGTGGTCTCAATTTCTTATAAAATTAACTCAAACTCTTCTTTATCTGTCCTAAAGAATGCTATGCATAACCATTTATCACCACATTTCCCTATTCTCCCAAAGACTGAGAACCCTAAAAAGTCACTCTTATTAATCAGAGAGTAATCTATTCATTCTTACTAAGAGGAGAGTGCAGTGATAAATAATGGTGAAAATCACTGAACGAAATATTTTCTAAGGTACTTTTCTCCTTTAAAAGTCTATGATTCCACATGTAGATAAGCCCAAATGCCTACATCCTTACAGAAGCAGAGTGTGTTGAAAAAATACTCTGCTCTGCCTGATTGCCTCCTCTCATTTTCCAAGGGGGAAGGAAGTGTCTGGTATTACATGCACTCCTCCTCTTCTGTCAAAGCTACTCTTACACACAGAGGATTGACTGAACAGTGTGACTTAAAATGAAAGCATCCTGATCTAAATATCTTCCTGTACTGCCAAAATCCCAGCAGTCATGTGAATTTTGAATTAACAGGCAAAACATGCTGAGGAAAAATTAAGGGTGGAAGAGTGTTATGTGTACTGTTTCAAGTGAAGGAATTATGGTTTTAACAGGCCTGTGTGGGTAGCTAAAAGTAGAAGGAGAACACCAAAAGCTAATTTTAAAGAGGATGGGCAGGGATGGTAAATCTCTGACAAATAGGAGGGCACAGTGAGAACTGGGCTCTTGAGGGCAGAGAGAGATGATCAAGGATGTGGACACCAAAGGAAACTTGATTTCTGCAATTTTGCTTAATACTAGCATTAGTCCCTCCTATACCTACAGTTCTAGCTGCAATTCAAATTTTAGGTCTTCAATGTAATCTTTTCTACAGCAATGAGATAGAAAACAAAAAACAATAACCAGAAGCCTGTGTACTATGCGTTAGCGCCTACTTACTACAGAGGGCTGTCACGTATTACAAGCATCATGCACAATACAACTAGATTTGCCACAGAGAACAATCAAGATTTGATTTGTCCCTTAAGGATCCAAATGCTTAACAGAAAGGGAGCTACAGAAGAACTTGAGTTTTATAAGTTTTGAATACCTTGGATGCTGAACTCAAGCATGGTAAAGATTGAATACCGCTGTTCGAAACGTCATTCCACTACAACTTTGAGGATAAGATAAATGAGGATAACTCTGGGAGGGGTCACAGTTACAAACTATAAAGAGAAACAGGTTTTGCCATAAAATACAAATTAAGAATATAAAATATTTTCAAAATGTGAGCTTACTGCTGGCCTTCACCCGACTGACAAAAATCATTTTCCAATGGTTATGTGATTTAACAATTGCGAAAGAAAGCAGAGTGGTTCATACTGGTGGTGGGTGGAAGGCTGAGTGATGAAGAAAGCATTTAAGTGAAATGGAATTGATGGACAAGAAAGGAAGCTAAAGGGAATACAGAATGGGAGGGAACCAGCTTATTAAGAATAAGGAAATAATAACCAGTATTAGTGAGGGCATTATATACATTGTTTCTTTAAAGCTTCAAACCTTACGAGATTAGTTCTATTATATTATTCTTATTTGTCAGATGAGCAAACCAGGGCATAGATAGGTTAGATAACTTCCTCAAATCATACACCTAGAAAGTGGTACAGGCAGGATTTGAGCCTGCTTATACGCTTAACCTATAAATCAGGAGGAGGAAGCTTAGAATGCAAATAAATGGGAGATCACGCCTTTTAAGAGCTGGAGTATGAATCATAAAGATTATTCGGCAGCTTTTGTGAACTCAATTCCTTTTTACTTTATAGTAGGAGTTCCTTTGTACTGCTATAAAATTTAGTCGTATGTTTGATTTGAGCTTATGCTGCATAATGGTGGGTGAAGGATGAGAAAGTATACTCCCAGAGGGAAATAGCTGTGACTTGGGCGCTCAGGCATGACAGCCAGGTGGCGCCAGCAGCGAGTGCCTGTGAGACCTGCATGAGGTGTGCGTTCCTGTAGGGTTTTCTGCTGAGAAGAGTTTATTTATTTGCCAAAATACATACTGCTCCTAGTTTTATAGTCAAAGATTTTTTTTTGTGTGGGAGAAAAGGGGATGGAGAGAAGAAGAGTCAGTCAGAAAGAAAATGAAAATTGTTTTCTAGTGGAAAGAACCAAAATAATTTATTCAAACTTCCTTCCTGTTCTTTCTGAAGTAAATGATATCTGTACAGAAATACTATATTGAGTATTTTAATATACTGAATAGCAGATTATAACATGCAATACCACTGTACGTCAGGAAAGTTCTCTTTTAATCACACCATAGAATTAACCAGAATAGTTTTTTGTCTCGGGAATAAAAAAGTTTCCATTTAGAATGAAAATGTGCATACACTTTGATATAAATAATTCAAACACTAAAAATCACTTTTTTGTTCAATAATTTTAAAACATTCAAATCAAGAGGTTCCTTTAGTGGAAATTATGCTGACTACTCTTTTGAACATTCTAAGTATTCTAACAAAACATAAAAAATAAAACATTTAAAGAATTTCCACTGGTTTTAAAAACAGTTCTATGTGCAACATTTGCATTTGAACCCATTTTATTCCCCATTTCCACAAAGACTAAATGTTCAACAGGGCAACAAAATGCTTTATGACAAGGATTACTGTGGCATTCAACATGGAATAGAGGGAATGTATATGCCAGGCAGTAACATAAAGAGAATGAATGATACACATTTAATAGGAACTTCTAAATTATTAAATTTGTAGAATTAATTCAGGAGAGAAAATGATAATGCAGTCAATTTATTGTGCACATACCACATGTTAGCTAAAATCACTTTTCACATTAGAAGAAAAATTCTGTCAGCATTAAAAATTGATTTGTACTCTATTATTGTTACAATAAAAGTTAATGAAGAATTTAATAAAAAAGTCACGTTTTCTGATTATATAGCCAGAGGTTTATTTGTAACCAACATGAAATTAAACAGTAAAGTGCTGAAAAGAAAAGGGTAAAGTAAAATAGAAATCACCATGAAAAATAAAAATGAGCAATTATTTATACATATAGTGACAATAATTAAATAAACATTCCAGTCTTTAGAATTCTTGCAAAGAATGGAAATCAGAGATTCTCCGATGGCCAAAGCATTTTTCAAGTATATTTTTACTTTATTATGTTTAATAATCATAAAGCCTTCGTTATATTTAAGATAAGAAAAAAGCATATTTTGGCCCACAGGTAAATTTTCAAGTGTGATTATTTCTAAAACTGACTGCATTACTAGGCAAATTCTTCAAATCAATTCACTGATCTCTTTTACTGAAGGATGCATTGGTTTGAAAATCAAAGACTTACGTCATCCAAAAAATCAATCAGTGAAGATGAAGAAGAAGAAAAGGAATCCTATTTAACGAATACAGCAATAAAAAAACAGAAAATATGGATGAAGCAATTTAATAAGAACAAATAATAAATCAAAATTTTATAAAACAATTAAAAGGCAAATGACATTAATTCAAATAAATAAATGAGAAAAGCAGTCACTGTCATTGTTTTGAAGAAACTTAGAGATTCATTAATCACTTTTTAAAGAGTGATTCTTTTTCATTTTCCTAAAGAAATGTAATATAATTCATATACTGTGCCTAAAATGTAATACAATGAAGCTCATGACAAATCATTAATAATCGAATTAAATATAAGCACTTGAGAAGCTAACAACTAAAAGTAAGCAACAGAATCTCTACTTCTAAGTCTTCCCACTAGAATGTAAGTTCTCTGAAGGAGGGACTTTTTCTATTTTGGTCGCTTCTGTATCTCTAGCCCTTGGAATAGTGCCGCCTTGCATACAGATATATGATTATTATTTGCTGAATAAAGATATAACCACCAACTTAAATTTTCTGAAAGTATACTTTATAACATGAAACTGATTTTTTTTCAGCAAAGAATTTAAATAGTGAGGAATGACCAGTATTTCATTATCATAGAATCTGCCTAACATAGTCTATGTAATACTTTTAACAAAAAGCATTCCTTATTGTATACGTTCCCAAAAAATGAATTGATTTGGATGGAGAACCAGCAACAATACCCTACTGTGAGCTCCAACATTTTCTCTTGTTTTTTATTGTGGCTCTATACTTTGGAGAAGAAGAAAGATATCAAAATTATTTCAAAAGTTGGGATTGTTCTGCTCTTACTGTGTCTTAGGGAAGATGAAACTGCTGTTAAATCTTACAATGACTCATGTTTAGACATTTGGAAGATGTTTTGTTAAATACAAACATATAGTCTCCATAAGAATGCAGAACATAGTCCCTTCCTAACATGTTTTTGTTTATGTAAGATTCTAGGTCTCCCACGTGGGATGCAATAAAACTTTTATTTTAAGAGAATTTTAAATCACAAAGTGAATTTTAAATTGACCACAAAGGATATGTGAAGAGTTTAATACTTACTTCAAATTGATCCAGAGCATCGGTAGGCGTATTCAAAAATGCCAAGAAAGAATGCTGTGAGTCTTGGTGCTCTATACCTAGAAGACAGCAGCAACTTATTTTTAAACTACAACAATTAAAACTAATTTTCATGGATAGCCTTTCCTGTCTGAATCCATTAAAAGCTGTTCACAAACTACTGTATTTCAAAGCTGATCACTATTATTAACTTTACATATTTAAAAAACTAAAATACACTAGTGTTTCCCAGAATATCACTTAATAGTTCAATTATATCATTTTGCATGAAATACTTGCTTCTAGAGGTACTTGAGTTACTGAGTTTCTTTCTTTTTCCATATAATACATCATTAAAAAACACATTAAATCTTTTAGTACATTTGAGAGAATTTAAAAAGTAGAACATAAAAAATCCTGTTTATGTCTGATTTTCCAAGCTAATATAACACCAAACGAGGTTTCTGTTTTGAAATACTCTTATCAGCATAAAGTTTGCACTGACTAATGTAAATAATCTTTTATAAGAAAATAATGCAGTGATAAAAAAATGTACTTAATTATAAAAACACTTTGTCAATCTGATTTCAGGAATTGTTTTATTGGCAGGATGAAGGATCCAAGCCCCAGTTTTCTCGGATGAATTTATAAAAATTCGTACATATCTCTGGGCTACGGTATTAACTTTAAATGCATAATTTTTAAGATAGTTCTTAAAACATACAAATGATGATAAATACTAGGGAGGAAAAAGCAGAAAACAACCAATCACACATTTTTGACTTCCATATCCTTAGGAATTGACATCAACTGATTTTGTGTGCTTTTCCTATTATTTGCTCATAATATAACATAGCTATGAGATAAGGCAATGTGTTCAGAAATTCATTCAGTCAACCAACACTTATTGAGAGTCTACTATGTGCCAGATACTGTTTTAAACACTGGGGAAGTAACAGTAATAAAGCATTAAAAATAATCCTTGCCCTCATAATATAAATGCCATATCCTATTACTTAAGTAGTATAGCATATTATAGCATACAATAAAATTTTATTCTCCAATATTCGAAATCCTAAATAAAAAAGCTATGTTTAACATGCCTTCATAAAGCAATTGGATAAACTTAAGTCTCTTTTTTTCAAGTTTAGGTCTATTCTAAAACAATGCAGTCAAGGTCACCTGCTGTGCAAGTCATACTCTACAGTGGTCTCTTCCCTATTAAATTGCCTTTAGGGCCACAAGTTGTCTTATGTATTCTTTTTCTTCTCCTCACTAAATAATGTATCTCCCATCTACTCTTTATGAATTAAAACCTAGCTTGATTTTCATTTTAGCAAGATGGCTTGTGCTCCTAATTTGAGTTCACTTTTTCTGGTTTCCTTCTTTTGCTTGTTCATTAAGAAATTCAATCCACTAAAATTTATCGAACACCAACTTTTTTCAGGTTAGTCCTTTACGTGATTTCTCTCTGTCCTTCACAATTTTACAAGCAGATGCAGAGCAGGGCTGGGAAATGACAGGAAAGCACTTAAGCCTAATAATGTAAAGCCCAATAACTAGTTCAGTATTCAGTGATAGCATTTGTCAGAAAAATGAATTTTGAATAACTGCATATAAGATACCCCTTTATTTAAAAAATAGCATTCTAAATTTATTTTTATTACATCTTCACACTTTTAATACCCACATTATGGAAAGAAAGTTTAAGAAGTTCATGTAATAGAGCTATCAAGCACTCTGAGTTAGTGTTCACATTAGTGGAAAAATGCTCAAGTAAAGTTTTCAAGAAAATGGTAATAAATCCTAAGAAATCCCATAGAGTAAGAAATTCAAGTATCAAACTGGAAGAAGACACTGAAATGTCAAAATAATTCTTCCTTACCAAATTGTTCTATTAATGGTGAGTTAGATTAATCTTTAGTTATTTCATACAGTTTCCTCAACTACCCTGGGAGCGAATCCCCTCCAAGATTTTTGTACATTCTATGCACATAAAAAGTGCTTAAAAAAAAAAAAAAAATCCCTGTTCAAGTACCCTCACCAAATTCTGAATGTTAACATGTTAACACACGTTGCCATTGTCAGAGTGATTGCCTCATACCGTAACATTTGAGAATATTATAAAGTATATTATAAAATAAGAAAATTTTTTCCAGTTAGAAAAACGTCATTCATGTAATAGTCCATGTCACTGAAAAAACAGTCAAATTTATGATAAAGTGACTTCTCTGTTACTATAAAATTAAACAATGTATATTAAGTAAAACAACGTAACTCAGAGACCAGTCAACCAAATATGTGTGTATGTGAATGCATGATACACACACACACACACACATATTCATACATGAATGCCAGAATTGCTATGTGGATAATTCTCCCACCTACACAATAAGGTGATTCTTATGTAATAAGACGTATTCATAACAGAACAATAAGTCCCAGTTGATACAAACACACATTCCCATACCCTTTTCAGATCTAAGCTCTTCAGTGTCCTTTATCAGTTGTTCGATTTCTGATAGTAGTTCCAAGTTCTTCTTCTCTGAATCTTTTAGTTTACTTAAGTAAGAAGAAAAAAGAAAAAATGTCATTAACTTTTACTGTGGTTAGTGAGCCATCTTGTATGTAGCTGGACTTCATTTGGTTTAAACATCAGTCATACTAAATTAGAGGACTACAAACAACTGCAGGAAGGACAGATACAGCCTGTCACCTACTTGTATATAAATATAGTTTTACTAGAACACAGCCAGGTTCATTCAATTATGACTACTGACTGTAGCTGCTTTTGTACTATAATAATAGCAAACTTGAGTAGTTGTGATGAAGGCTGTAATGGCCCTCAAAGCCTAAAATATTTACTATCTAGCCCTTTATAGAAAAAATTTGCTGATCCTGAGCTAAATTATTAAATTAAAAAATGCTATAAAGTTAGAGGTTAGTTTTAGACTTCTATTAGACTTCGTTCATAGGCAACCATGAAAGTGGAGCATATACATGAGTAAGTTTATAATTTTTCAATTTGACTTGTATCCCTGATTTATGTATCAATGCGTAAACTCATATGTCCTGGGCTAAGGAGAAAAGATCATACTTATTCCAAATTACAACACAGAGAATGATATTCAGTAGCTCTTCATGCTGAGATGAATTCGTATTCTCCAGGAAAAGCTCTGTCCATTTTCAATGCTGCACAAGCACATTTAAGTAAAGCGTATTTAATTTCTGTCTTTATTATTTATAACAAAAGTTTATAAACAAAAAATTTACGTGTAACTTCTATCTGAATAATTTTTGACAAATGTAGAAATTATTCTAGTAGGATATTATTCAATCTTACCATTCTGTTATGATGTTAGATGCTTTAACCTTATTAAGCTCTTCTTGGATGGCCTGTTTGGCTCTTATTTCTGCATCTAGAGCTGACTGCAACTCCAGTCTAGCTGACATATCCAGTTTTGCAAAACGACGCATTTTCCAGGGCATATCCTATGAAATAATATGACTGTGTTTTTAGCTCCATCCTATTTGAACATTTAAATTTAGTAACCCAAGTGAATTTGGAAGCTACTTATAAGCACTATCTTTCTCTAATTATAGAATAAAATAAAAACATTACTTGTGAAAATGTATTATTTTTCATTAAACTCAGAAATAATTATAAATACAGACAAATGAGGTTTTATTAGTTATTTCCAATAATGGCTATCCACATAAAGTACAGTTAAGCAGCTATGTGTTATGTTTTCCTAAACTGAAAAAGACCTAACTACCTGATTTCTCATGAAAAATAGTGGGCTAAAGCATAGACAAATGGACACAAATATTAGTATTTATTATAGTGTTTTTAGAGCCTTCTTTTTTCTAATATGACAAGCCTCCATGCAAAATGATAGAGCTTACTGTTGCTCGTGTACCCAAGCTGGAATTTCTTAATGCTTCCAATTCTTCAGTCATTTTAGAAGCTAAGGCCTGAAGATACCCTCGTGCATCCTTTTCATCACTGACCCTAGAATATATACAAAAGTAAAACAGAAAAACTTCAGTGTGATATATATTATCTTAAAGCTTCATAGAGAAATAAGTGATATAAATTTGAAGACATTCTTAAATAATTTATTTCAAAGGGTCTACCATAGTCCTATTACCTATCAACAGCTGGGAAGTTTACTGAACTGTTCAGTTATATATAAATTAGAGCTGGTGATGTGTAGGAAAGTCTGAGTTACTCATATCTAATAAAGTAGTAAAACTTCACCCTTGAACCACAGAATTAACTCTTTAAATCTAACATTTAACACACATGCATACACATGTGAGGCTTTCTAAAGAATACCATGATTTCTCATTAATTGGATTTTGGCATTTCATCTTATAAAAACACAACACACCCTTCTTAAAACTGAAATATACCAAATTTAGAATGTTTAAGTTTAAAGTAGGATATTTTGCAAATATTAGGATGTATTGTAATTAAGCCCTTCTGTTTTCTAAAATGATCAATAAAATAATAAGAGAAAAGATTAGAGTCTACTGAAAACTAATTTCTACTTACTATCTTAAGGCTATCTAGCTGATAAACTTACTATGATTTTAGATAGAAAAGTTTTCCAATTATATTTAATAAGACAAATTAAATTCTACATTTTGGAATTTCTCAAGAAAAAGTTTGCATTTGTTATATCTCCTCCAAAATAACAGGGAATGGTGGTGGTGGTGGGGAGCCCAGCACATAAAAATCTATAAAAGAAAGTCCTATCTCCAGAAGAATAAAAACCATTGGTATATAGACATCCATGCTGCGCAGAGAAAAAAAAAATGGAGTTGAAATTTGCGATGCTCTGAAATGTATTCTAATACACTTTTGGGAAGACATTTTGTCTTTGTATAAGATGGTTGTTTTCACAGATAAAATTCAGGTCATTGAAGCTATGAGGAAAGTATATCTCAGGTAAATTGATACGTATCCATGATGAATACAGCAGACATGTTTAAATCTTAACCCTTGCTTTAGCATCTTACAGAATTTAAACTTCTTGAGGAGTCAAATTGATATCTATCTATCTATCTTAAAGAGGCCCTTTAAAAGGGGTTTCGTACTCTATGTTCTCCTGTAGGAGGTTTTTTAGAACATATGCAAAAGAATCTAAAAAGAGACGCAATAAAACCATTGTAAAAAGTTGCCCACTCCAGTGAAAGTTACATATTTTAGGCTCTACGTACATGTACATATTTTTATTGCCTTTTAAAGAAAAATGGCTTTAGAAATTATTTTAAGAAAGTTTGTGCAGTGAGAGGCTTTTTCCTCCTAAAATTCTTTGAACTTTGCAATCTTTTCATTTAATCATCTGATCTACAGTGTAAAGAATAAATGGGGAAGGGGAAGATTACCTTCTTTAGGGTACAAAGATACTATACATAGTAACAATGAAGAAAACTGTATTATCATTTAAGCAGCCAGGCTAATCGACCTCAACTAGTGCTGGTTTAAGCTTCAGAAATACAGACTTAATGATATGGATGTAAGATAAACATTAACGAACCAATAACTACTGTACGGAACACAACCAGATTTCTACAGTCTGGGCCTTCCCTCTGTATGCACTGAATAGGCACAGTCATAAGCACAAGAGCTCTATAGTTAAGCCAGTATCAAAATACTTGAGTCATATGGGTAAAATTATTTAAAAATACAATGTTTATTCATTTTTAATTTTATTTAAGAAGGAGGCTATTAATCTGGTATAAGTAAGAAAAATGGAAAATTACTAGAACCAAAATATGAGCAAAGGAAACTAAAATTCCCAACAAATTTATATATAGATATGAAGAAACTACAAGTTGAGTATCCCTTATCCAAAATGCTTGGGACCAGAAGTGTTTCGGATTACAGATTTTGTTGGATTTTGGAATATTTCCATATACATAATGAGAATTCTTAGGGGTGGGACCCAAGAACAAACATGAAATTCATTTATGTTTCATATACACCTTACACACATAGCTTGAAAGTAATTTTATACAATACTTTTACTAATTTTGTGCATGAAATAAAGTTTTGACTGCAAACTGTCACATGAGGTCAGGTGTGGAATTTTCCACTTGTGGTATCATATCAGCAGTTAAAAAGTTTCAGATTTTGAAACATTTCAGAGTTCAGATTTTTGGATTAGGGATGCTCAACTTGTAGATGTTCTGATATAAATTAAACACCTAACATGTGCCAAAAAGGGTAAAAAAATATAAAAAGTTGAGCTACCTATTTTCATTAGGAAATAGAAAATCCTCACTGGATTCTACTTTCTCCATGTATTATGAAAATACACAAATTTTTACATGCATCAGAATCATTTAATGAATGAATGAATATGAAGGCTACTAATATGAATATTACAAATTAAATCCCAAGAGCTTGAGGAACAGCTGATAAAACTAAATTATAACCATTTAAAGTTCTTAAAATGCCATGTGTGAATTAATCTGTTATAATCATGAGAGAGGGTGATAGTACAGTATCTTCACCTTCTAAATTTTTTGCAGGCATTTTGTTTCTTAAAATAATCACAAATACAGCAGTTTTGATCTTAGAAAGCAACATCTATAGCTAGTGGAAGAGTTTCATCAGTTCTTTAAGGACCAACATGACTTAAAAGGGGGTAACATTTTCTTTTCTTAGAAAGTATTATCAGATTTCAGTGAAGCTGTATAAAACCTGGTATGGGACATTTGTTGGAGTTAGGAAACAGGATCATAACAGAAAACACAGAATACAAACAACGTATCAGTAATAAAAAGGTGCTTTTCAGAGTAAGTTATTTTTCATAGCATACAAATGAGATAAAAAAACATGTTAATGGCCTCTTGGAATTCACACCAACTTGGGCATATGTCCACAATCATTTGCAAAAACATATTTAAAAAGCACTCACCACTGAATTATTTCTGTGATTTGGGCTTCCCAGTGTGCAACGGATTCTTTCTTGTCTGCTAGATCTTTTACCTCTTCTTCTAACTGCTGGTTTCGTATACTTAAATTCTCATACAAAGTGGTAAGCTGAAAGGCAGTTTTAAGATGTGTGACTTTTAGGACCAGGAATTCCAGATGCTCAGATACCTGTTGCTAAATCTGATAGCTCACTATCTTCTACTCAAAAATGCTTGTCTTTTTATTATCACATACACTTCCGGTCAATGAATTTGGAAGTAAAAAGTACTCTCTGAATTCTCCTGCTACTTTTCTGTGAACATTCTCTATTTGCCTAAGGAATGGCCTATTTCTACTGATAACATCATCTCATTTGTTGTCTAAAAATGTCTTTATGTCATTCCTTTTTTTGAAAAAAAAACTTGCAAGCATATAAAAAATGGACAATATAAGTGAATTCCCATGAGCTCACCACTCAACTTCAGCAATGATCACCTGCATGCCAATCTTGTTTCATTTGTACTCCTGTTCTCTTACCCCTCCTGTATCATTACATAGGTAGTAAATGTTCAAATTTCCAGTTATTTCAACAAGTCAAAAAACTTAATTTGTTAAATTGAGTCACGATACCACTCAGTAAACACAACTTAATGGTTTGCTATGTCTTTTAAGTCTATTGTATTTATAGGTGCTCCTCCAACATTTTTATTTTTCTTGTAATTTATTTGTTGAAAAAAGTAAGTTGTCCTGCAGTTTCTACATTCTGAATTTTTGCCTTCATTTTTGAAAGATACTTTTGCTGTATATAGCATTCTAAGTTGGCAGTTATTTTACTTTAGCACTTTGAGATGTCATTCCTTTTTCTTCTGAATTCCAATTTTTTTTTTTTTTTTCTGATGGGAATTCAGCTTTCCGTCTAACTTTTACTCCTTTGAATATAATGTCTTTCTTCTCTGGCTGCTTTTAGGATTCTATGTTGGTTGTTAGTTTTGGGGGCATTTTTCCAGGATTTGTCTAAGTGGGGTATGATTTCTATTTATCACCTTTAGAATTTGTGCTATTTTTTGAATTTGTGGTTAAATGTTTCTCATAGGTTTGAGAAAATTATGGGCCATTAACTCTTCAAATATTACTTCTGCCACAGTCTCTCTTTTCTCTCCTTCTGGGAAACCAAATATTTGCATGTTAGAGCTTTTTACCATGTCCCCTATTTCTCATATCTTCTTTTCTGCATTTGATATTCTTTTTAATCCCTGACCATACTTCAGTCTGGAACTTTTTTCTTCCCACATATCCAGTCCTTTCTTTGGCTTTCTCCAATCTGTTGTTATTAATAAAACTTTCTATTGAGTATTTTGGTTATTTTATTTTTCACTTCTAGAAATTCTATTTGACTCTCTTGCATAGATTCCAGTTATGTGCTGAAATTCTTCACCAGGTCTTCTACTTTCTTGAATATACCACAGTATGTTCAAGTATGTAAAATTCCACAGTAATTTTAAAGTCCATTTATAAAAATTCCATACTGGGAACTCCTATGGGTCTGTTTCTACTGACTGTCTGGTTTTCTTTCCATTTTTCCTTTTTTAATTTTGTTTCTGCTGTTATATTTTTCTTTTGTTTTTTAGTGATTTGGTTGTGTTTGCTGGCATGTCTGGTAATTTTTTAATGCATGCTACATGTTGAATATAAATGTCTTAGGGATAATTTGAGGCTCTGGATAATATCTTCCTCCAGGGAGCATTTACTTTTACTTATGGTAGCCAATTAGAATAAAGAGATCAGGGATTAGACTATGCAGAGGCTGGGTTTCAGTCTCTGAGAAGGCTAATCTGTTTTTGATTCACCTTTACTCTTAAAATGTAGCCTTTCAATGGGTCCAACTGAAAACTTGAATTATTACTAAGGATTCCCCAACTTGACAGGCACTGAATTTCAATTTTTATCTCTCTAGCTTTGTGAGACTGCAAAATATTGTGCTCAACTTCCAGATTCTCAGCAACTACTTTCATATCAGCAAATGCCTTAAGAGGAAAAGTGGCACTGAATGTTGAGCTCATCTCTCTGCATTACTCTTCCCTACAGAAATTCAGTTTGTAAAGTCATGGCTGCCGGGCTATCACTCCAGTGCTTTCCAACAGATGAATACTGTAGGAACTATTCCGATAGTATTAAAAAATATTTTTAAAATCCAGCTTTATAGCTCTTCTTGGTGAGGTGGTGGATATGATGAAAACTAATCTCTCACACAAGTTCTTGCTTTAAGCTTTCTTAAATACATGAAAAAATATTTGCACACTATTTTACCTATTTCATAGCTACATTTTTTTGTTTTTATTACCTGTCTTCACCTACCATTAGTTATTACTGTTCCTTTCTTCCTTTTTGGTATGTTTGTAGAGATACTGTGCTAGTTTCTTTTTGATGACTCAACTTTGAAGGAGGTGAGTTTTTCCTAGAAGAGCTACTTACAGAGGTTTTTAGGGATTAGGGCACTATGATTGTAATTTTATATGTCAACTTGACTAGGCCACAGGGTGCCGAGACATTTGGTCAAACATCATTCTGGGTACATCTTTCAGTGTGTCTCTGCATGAGATTAACATTTGCATTGGTAGACTGAATAGGCCTAAACAGAAAAACAAAAAGGATGACTGTACCAGGAGTAAAAGGGAACTCCTCCTGTCTAACTGCCTTCAGGCTGTGACATAGTCTTTTTCCTGCCTTACGACTTGAACTGAAAGAGCAGCTCTTCTGGGTCTTGAGCTTGCAGACTGGAGCTACATCATAGACTTCTGGTTTTCAGGCACTTCAGTCTCACACAGGAAATACACTGTCAGCTCTCCTGGGTCTCCAGCTTGCCAACTGTAGATTTTGGGGACTTGTCAGCCTCCATAATCACTTGAGTCAATTCCTTATAATAAATCTCCCTCCCTCCCTCCTTCTCTGTCTCTCTCTCTCTCTCTTTCCTCTCTCTATTGGTTTTGTTTCTCTGGAAAGCCCTGACTAACGGAGCAGAGGCGGAAACCATGTTTCTAAGTCAACTTTTCCAGTAAAGAACCAAATAATAAATATTTTCACCTTTGTGAACCACATATGGTATCTATCACACATTCTTCTTTATCAAAATAGTCATTTAAAAATTATAAAGATCATTTTTAGTTTGGAAGTTTAGATTTGGAAGTATTTTCTACCCATCTGTGCATGTCTTTTCACTTTCTTAATGTTGTTTTCAAATTTTGATGAAGTCAATTTATCATTATCTTTCTCTCATAGGTTGTGCTTTTAATGTCATATTTAAGAAAATTTAAACCCCAAATTAAAAAGTTTCAAAAATATCAACTAATTTTTTTCTATTTATTTTTTAACTTTTATTTTTGGAGTTTAAAAATGTGAGAATCTATTATATAACATATAACTTTCAAAATTAACCTAATAATAGCTTTTTGACTTCTATATATGCAATTCTGTTGAGAAGGAATTGAGTTCTCTTTGAGCTGGTTTCCAATGGAACAGTTGGTACAGCAACGGCAAATGCATTCAGTGGTTATTCTTGGGGAAAACACCAAATTCAAATCAAACTGGAAACTGAATAAATGGAAAGAGACAGTGAAGATATGCAGTGGGGTAGACTGACAGTTAAGCAGAGAAAGAAGCAAAAATTGAATAAAAGTATGAGAAATAGAGCAGAGGCTCAAATGGAAACAGAAATCCTAGATCCTCATACCGAGGAATAAATATTTCCCTGCAATCGTTGGTCATTAAATACTTGTCTACCATATTAATTTGCTCTGAAAGTGCTACTCATATTCTATACATCTTTCAATTTAGCAAGAAAAGGTATTGTTCTACTTTTTACAAACCACCCTTCAGGCCTCATCAAAGAGGCTTCACTTTATGTACTAGGCCTAAGTAAGTCCCTTCTGTCAGGCTTGTTCAGGGTGAGAACCCAGAGAGTATGTATAGGACAGAAGGCGGATAATGGTTAATGGAAAACTTAGATAGTGATCCTAAGGCCTGTGAAACAACAGCCGTAGGAGTCTGGAGAGTCCGGAAGTTGTAAATTTAACTCTGACCACAGACAGTTGTAGAACTGGTTACTGTTCAGATAAAAAATTCACCCTCCCCAAACTTCCATCCAAACCTCCTATAAAACCCACCACTCTCCCCACTTCTTGGCATGGATGCTCTTTTCAGTCTCCAGCCATCTGCACCCAGATGCTCAAATAAACAGTATTTTGCTACACCTGAGGCTTCATGTGTCTCCCTCTTGGCTCCGGACCTAATACCTTCCTTATGGATGTATTAGATCACAACACAATTTTAATCAAATGAGTATTTTTTTTAAAAGTTTTCTCTAAATATATATTTGGATAAACTCAGCAGAAATCTATGGCTGAAATTAAATCAAGGGCTGAATTCAAAATTTGATTGACATTCAATTTGATTATTTTCCAATACAATTTTTCTTAACATGTAATAGCATCTTTTACAAGGTAATCTGCTTATTAACTCTACATGAAGTGGCTTTCTAAAGTTTAATTATGTTTTTTTAACTCACAGTAACTCCTAATAGAATCTTAAAAGGATGTTAAATTTTGTAGTCACATTAGCAAAACACATGAAATAATAATTATATGACCTATTAGGATAAAGTTCAAATATTATTAGTCCTATTTCAGTTAAACTAACTAAGAGTTATATGATAAAGTTCATACACTATTCAGGGTTTTAAAAATCCATTTATCCTACTATTTAGACACTTTCCACAATGTTTGTGTATGTTAGCTTTGTAAGATTTTATGAAATGAACTAACAGTATTCTTTCTGAAGTCATTTTCAACCAAAGTCATTTTTAAAATGCTTTAAATCCTTATGTAGCATTTTTTTAAAATGCTGAATAATCATGGAGAAAATAGAGAAACAGAGAGCTATATAGAAAACAATGGAAAATTGAAAAACGAAAAATCTCTATTTTACAACTATTTAGTCATTGTCTTTCAGTCTGTTACTACTACTAATAATTGAACATAATACTTTTACTGGAGGAAAATTCTAAAAATCATTATAAAATGCAGTTATTTAGCCCTTATTTAAATGTAAATAGAATTATTAAAATTTCTGGTTAATATTAGGATTTTTAAAATTGTTAAGAATTGGCACAAGAAATGCAGAACACTGACAGTTTGAGAAAACTGTGATACTAACCGGAAAAAAATTCCGTTAAGTATTTGATATTTTATTCACAAATATTACTACTTCCAAGTTCAATACATGGTTCTGCGCTTTATTAGAATTTGGGCAGAGTTGGTTTCTTTGGATTATCATCTACCCCTGGTATCATTTCTAGCTATTTTCAGTTCTGCTTCGGGAATATGAAATCATACTTGTTACAATTTCTCCAAGTTTGGCCTAATTGTCCCTGCTCTCCCTGTGGGCAGCCTTAGCTTGACCTGCACTTATCTAGCCTGAACTTAGCCAGCCACGACAGGGTAAGTGACAAATAAGTGAGGAAAAAATGAAACAGAATAGTTGGAAAGTGAAATAAAGAAGAAAGGCTCAAAAAATAAATGAGACAAAGAATATGACGAGACACACAAAACTCTCTCTACAGAAGACTCCTGTCACAGATTGGTATAGCCAAAAATTGCCTATATTATATAAGCAATCACAGCTTATAAGGAAGACTATTAAACCAAAAATGTATACCAAATATAAATTTAAAACCACAATTCCTATCATAATATTGAACATCTAGCATATGCTCAACTCATATAAATGAGATTGAATCACTCACCTTATCAAGTTCACTTGTCAGTTTTTTATTTTCTTCAGTTAATAAAACTTTTTCTCGTTCATACTGCTGTTTGAACTCATTTTCAAATTCTTCCCTTTCACTTTGACTAACACAATTCAAAACACAAAAGGGAAAAAAAGAATTAAAGGTCAACTGGAAACTTGAAAGGAATTATGTTTGGAATAGTTATGTAATATATGAATACCAGACTGACCTCCAGAAACATTATTCACATAGAATACAACATGATTACATGCAGAGACAGGCCTGATGAAAATAATTTCCAAGAATTTACAATACAATAATGATGATTTGTTCGCTCGTTCATTTAAAAAACATTTATGGGTGCCTCCTAGGTGCCAAGGGGCTGTTGCAGGCCCTAAGGATAGGCCCCGCTCTCATGGAGCTCGCATTCCAGTGGAGGAGGACTGGCGATGAAAAGTGAGTTCATGAACTAATTTCAGATAATCAGTTCTATAAAAAGAATGAAATACAGTAATGTCCTCAACAGTATCTGTGAGGAGGTGGCTAATTTGAATTGTATCGTCTGAGAAGGTCTCAGGGTTAATGAATAAACTACCAAAATGAAAATAATAATTGCCATCTGCTTCATATTCATTATGTTTTATTATCAGAGACAAATTATTCTGAGACCAAATTGATACTTTTCTTTGTGTATCTGCACCAAAATATTCTTAGAATATACAAAATCATGGGCCCTTATTTAAGATTGGGTCAGAATCACTTCCTAGTGATACTAATTTGATTAAGAATAGTATTTCAAACATTTTGTTCATAATCAGAAATTAATTTATATCTAAATTTAGACATTTTTAAAAATTTGCTTTGAAATAATTTCATTTGTATAGAAAAATTAAAACAATAGTACAAAGAATTCCTATACACTCTTCACTCAGATTCCCCAAATGTTAACATTTTACTACATTTGCTCCATTACTGTGTACGTATACTGACTTCATTAGTCTTCTGAGCCACTGAGAGGCAGCTGCAGATACCATGCCTTATTAGCCCTAAATACTCCAGTGTGTATCTCTCAAAGTCAAGGGCACTCTCTGCCATATCCATTAAGCAACCTTCTAAATTAGAAATATCAACATTGCTAGAACACTACCATCCAAATTCACAAATCCAATTCAAGTTTTGCCAACCATCTCAACAATGTCTCCTTTTCTTATCTAGTCCAGGATCCAACTGGGAAATGTGTTGCATTTAGTAATTATGTCTCTTCAATTTCCTTTGGTCTAGAGTAGTTCCTCAGTCTTCTCTCTCTCTCACAACAGTTTTAAATAGTACAGACCTTTCACTGTGGTAGGTATGGTATTCTCACCTGGAACCTCTTCCTTCAGTTCAAAACAGACAGCTTTGTGGTTCACTTGTTCTCCTCTGTCAGGAACTCTGTTGCTCAGTGTAGAGAAGTGGCTCATGCAGGTAGGTACCCACTATGGTGGTGTTGGTAATTTGGGTCAGTTGGATCTCAGATCCTTAGGATAGTGTTCAGGTGCTAGTGGTGGTGGACTAGGTTAGGTAATACCCAGTTTCCAAGTCCCTGGATGACATGATTGAATCCTGGGGGGACCAGAGACTAGGGCTGGCAAACTTGCCCTCAGCCTCCCTCAGTTCAGGTGCTGGCTGTGACAGTAAGAGGTGGGGTGATCTCTTGCTCTGGCAGAATGCGTAGGCAGGAGAAGAGTATATTCAGCTGCCTAAAATCTAGAAACCTATCACTGGTGATTTTTCCTGCTCCCTCATTTCTCACAACTGGTCATTATGTCCTCCAGGTTCTGTACTTCTGAATCCATCCACTTCTCTCCATCTTTACCATCACTACCTGAGATTCACCACCTCAGCTCTCACAGCTGGATTCCTCCCTCCAGTGTGCTCCTTCCAGTCCATTCTCCACATAGGAGTAAGAGTGATCATTCAAAAACATAATTGGGTTACTTTACTTCAGTGGCCTTAAAAAAAAGTGCAAATGCCTTATATTCTTTCATGATCTTACCTCTATTTTCCTTGCCAGCCTCATTTCTTACCACTCCACTTTCTACCTATGCTTCCACCACAGTAAATAGCTTTTATTTTCTGGATGTGCTATGCTCCCCTATCCCTTCAGACCTTAGCACATTCTTCTACCTCTGCCTGGACACTCTTCCCCAGCTACTTCTTTCTTGATTTCTTAGGTCTCGGCCTAAAACAAATTTTGTCCAGAAAGTCTACATGTACCAAAGTTACCTTTTGTGCCTCTCCTACCTGTGCCCCTAAACTTATTCCATTTGCTTTTTTATCGTGCTACATTGTAATTTTCTATTTACCAATTTTGATTTAGGTCTCCTTGAGGACTGGGATATGTTTATTGTCTATGTATCTCCAGTACTTGATATAACAGGTACTCAATATTTACTGCACGAGTAAAAAATAATTTGATTCTTACCCTTCTCTCCTGGTTTTTTCCAGTTTGTCTTTTAAAACCATAATTTCTTTGTTGAGAGCGAGTTGTTGGCCTTCTGAATCATGCAGTTCTTTCTTCAGATTTTTAATTTCATTTGCATGTATTCCTTCTCTTTTAGATAATTCTTCTTCATAAAAGATACTTTTCTTTTCCAAATCAGTCTTTAGTTTGGTTATCTCTTGCTGATGTTCTATGCTGCATACTCCTGGTGAGTAACTAATTTGTTTTTGCTATAGAAGTAATAACAAAAGATTAGTTTATCTACAAGAATAAAAAAATATCAAATAAGGATTTCTAAAATATGAAGGACTGTTCATATAAATGTATATCATTTTTATATATTATCACACAAAAATAAAACTTTGTATTAAGGCTATTAATTAATTTTTTTTTTTTTTTTTGAGATAGAGTCTTGCTCTGTAGCTCTGGCGGTGTTGTCATAGCTCACAGCAACCTCAAACTTCTGGGCTCAAGCAATTCTCCTGCCACAGCCTCCCAAGTAGCTGGGGCTACAGGCATGCACCACCACATCCAGCTAATTTTTCTATTTTTAGTAGAAACAGGGTCTCACTCTTGCTCAGGCTGGTCTCGAACTTCTGATCTCAAGCAATCCTCCCGCCTCAGCCTCCTGAGTGCCAGGATTACAGTCATGAGCCATCATGCCCAGCTCACTATTAACTTTTTGTCTGCCATGTATGTTAAAATATTTTCTCAGTTTATATTCCTATATAGCTTTTGTTGTTATTTTTTATAGTCTTCTTCACAAAAAGATTATATCTCAATTTATGTGAAATTTTTGCTGGTACTTTCATGATTTCTTGTTTACATTTAAATTTCCATTTAGAATTACTGTTGGTATATGGAGTAAAGGAAAAATCTAACTGCCACCTGTATCTGATGAGGAACAGGTAAGTTTGAAGCACATTTGTGTCTTTAAAAAATTAAAATGGGGGAAGAGATGATAGAGCTAGAATGTATGAAAAGAGAGAGGGCTTTTGCATAGCCCAACGAGAAATGGCAAAGGTCTAAACTAACATTTCCTTCACACCCCTGCTTAAAAAAATGGTAGGTCTCTTCACTTTTAGGTAGGACATTAAGGAGGAGGAGAAATTTGGTTGCAATCCACCTTTTTAGAAATTAGGCTAAAATATCCTCTCCGAAATAAGAAAGAAAAGAAAATGTAAAGTCCAAAGGTTCTTCCAGGTACTGTCTAAGGGGTAAACAGAAACGTACCCAGTCAGATTATGACTATAAGATTTCCTGAGCTTTGTAACTTTCCAATGGCCATTAATTTGTTATAGTCTACCTGTTTCCCCAAATGATCAGCAATAAAACTTTTAAACTAAAAGAACCTATGTGCTTATAAACAGTGATAACAAGGAATCAAGGTCCTGAGGTCACTGTGTTCTTTTTTGAAGCCAATCTTAAGGACAGAAAAATCGGTAAGGGTAGTTTGATTTCAAGTTGAAAGAGAAATATGCTGTCTCCTTCACATTTGAAGTATATAACTTTAAAAGAAGAAAGGAATCAATGTTGACCAGAGAAATGTCCTTGGGTGTCCATTGCAATATTTAAACCATTTATTAAAAAAAAAAAAAAAAACTTTTCATGTGCCAGATCCACGTCATCCAGCGGTTTATGAGCTATCCTGACATGCAATATTCTGCTTAACCTGGGAAGAGCCAGAGCAAGTCAGGTGCTTGCTCTTAAGCATCTCTATGAAAATAATGCCTAAATTGTCACCTCTACCTTCTCTTTCATTTTTCTAATCACCTAAAAAACACTTTTAGCTCATTGTTCTGTTTAGTTTAGTTTCACTGCTGGGATGGCAGCAACATGTACAAGAAGTATCATGGAAAAACCGCCTGAAATCAAAACCTAACAAAGATACCACCAATTAAAGTTACAGATGCATATCACTCATTGAACAGAATATGAAAAGCCAAACAAAACACTTATAAAAACAAATTTAAATCTTAAGTAAAAAAGAACAACCTACAACAATAGGTTTTATTGCAGGTATTGAAGGCAATTTAATGTTAGCAAACTTATTAATACATGTGTAATAAAATATAATATTTGAATAGATTAAATTTAACAATCCAAATGATAATCTTAGTAGGTACCCTTGTCCAAAAGTATTTTGATAAAATCCAATAATAATTCCAAATATTATCCCAAATCCCAAAATAAAACCATAAAAAGATTATAGTAATTCTTTTAATTTAAAAAGTATCCATTTCAAGCTCTCAAACAAAATACTTAATGGTGAAACATCAGAAGTACACCCAGTAAACTGAGACATAACAAAAACAAAAAGGATATCTTCTATTATCATTCTTAAGTAATATTAATTTCAAGTAATCTATCTGACCAATGTGAAATAGTTAAAAGAAATTAATATTATAAAGAAAAGTGATAAATTATCATTTCCATTTAATTTTTCACCGAGAAAATGCACATAAATCTACTGAAAAGTGTTAGAACTGATAGAGTTGAGTAAAATAGTATAAAAGATAAAAACAAATACTTCTAGATATTAAAATAAGCAATAAGAAAACATAATAAAAATTTTCTTCATTAACAGCAAAAGGAATCAAAAATACCACATACTAATAACACACATATGAGGAATAATAATATTGAAAAATTTCTGATTTATAGAAAACAACAAGTGTTTAAAAGGGAACATTAAATATACATGTACTCAATTTTTCAAATTATCTTCCATGTAATTTTAATAAAAAGTTTTTTTTTTAAATATCAGGAGCAGTGTTACAATATAGGAGGGGGTGGAGACAAATATTTGCAGTGTGTGGGCAAGAATAAACTGGTAAAAATACCAAAGAATATACCAAAGGGGGTTATGGACAAATATACTTTTCAGATATTAAACCATATTATTAAATCTTTAATGAAGTACCACTGTAATAGATCTCCTCCCCTATGTAATTTAATTCAATATATGACATATCTTCAATCAATGGGTAAGGCACTGATTAATTAATAAATGGAATTAGAATCATGAGCTAGCAACATAAGAACAAAACGACTCTCATATCATTTAGCAAATCAAACTCCAAATAGATTGAAGAGCTAAATATCTTTAAACCCCATAGAAACATCTGGGGGAAAGCAGAATTAAATACATATCAAAACTCTGGAAAGAGAATAAGCCAAGCTTTGAAGCAATAGAAGAAACACTGAGGAAAAGATAAATACATCTTTTGCAATTTTAAAAGGGAACAAGACCAAAATTAAAGGCCAAATGATATACTGGTGGAATAGTAGCTGAAAATATTTTAAAAAGTAAAATTTTACTGTGCAAAGAGTTTACATGACTTGATAAGACTACAAAATTAAATGAGCAAATGACTTAAAGAGGTAATTTACAAAGCAAAAATATGATTAATAAACAATCCACTAATAAACCAAGAAATGCAAAAATACAGTTAAAACTTTTTTTGCCTCTCATACTTGCAAAGATTTGTGGCATTTATCAAATGTCTTAAAAGGATCACTAATTTCACTTCTAGGTACCTGTTCTAAAAAAAATGACAAACATTTGAGGCCAGAAGTTCGAGACCTGCCTGGGCAACACAGCAACAATCTGTCTCTACGAAAATAAAAAAATTAGCCAGATGTGGTGGTATGCGCCTGTAGTCCCAGCTAAATTTGGAAGGCTGAGGCAGGAGGATCGCCTGAGTCCAGGAGGTGGAGGCTGCAAGGAGCTATGATCCAGCCACTGCACTCCAGCCTGGGTTTCAGGGAGAGATCCCATGTTTAAAAATAAAAAAGCAAGAAAGAAAATGATATAGAAAAAGCAGTGCATAAAGGTGCTCATGGCAATTACAATACTGAAAAAATAAAGAATAAAGAATTAAAGAAAAATAAAAAATTTAATAGAGAATTGGCTATATGGGATATTCTTCTTGAACTATTTATAATCACTAGAATTATGTATCTGATAATTTTGTAATAAGTAAAAATGCTTATTACATTATTAAATGAAAAATACAAGTGTTATGGGTTAAATTGTGTCCCTATTCATATGTTAACGTACACAGTACTTTGCAATGTGATGTTATTTAAATATAGGGTCTTTCAGAGGTAATCAAGTTAAAAATGAGGTCATTAGCATGCACCCTAATCCAGCATGAGAAATTTGGACACAGACATGCACACAGGGAGAACACCATCTGAACATGAAAACAGAGATCAGGGTGATGCATCTACATGCCAAGTAATGCCAAAGACTGCCAGCAAACCAGCAGAAGACAACCCTGCCAATACCTTGATTTTGAACTTCTAGCCTCCAGAACTGAGACAATAAATTTCTGTCTTTTAAGCTACCCAGTTTGTGGTACTTTGTAACAGCAGCCCTAACGAACTAACACAATAGGGTAGAAAAACTCCGGTAGTATACAACCTTGAAAAGTATCCTTTTTTAAAACAAATTTTTATTGAGATATAATTCACATACCACACAATTCACTTATTTAAATTATAAAATTCAATTATTTGGGTTATTAGTATATTATAGTATTAATTTTTTTTAAGTAGTAAAATATATAACAAAACTTTCCATTTTAACCATTTTAAGTGTAAAATTAAATGGTATTAATTACATTTGCAATGTTGTATAAATATCACTACTATGTATTTCCAAAACTTTTTCATTATCCCAAAGAAAAATTCTATAATCATTAAGAATTTATTTCCTATTCCTCCTTACCCAGACTCTGGTAACCTCAATTCTACTTTCCGTTTCTATTTATTTGCCTATTCTAAATACTTCATTTAAGTGGAATCATACAATATTTGTCTTTTTGTATCTGGCTTCTTTCACTTGGCATAATGTTTTCAAGATTCAGCCATATTGTAGCATGTATCAGAATTTCATTCCTTTTTATAGCTGGATGATATTCCCTTATATGTATATATTATATTTTGTTTATCCATCTGTTGATATGGACACAGGTTGTTTCGACCTTTTGGCTATTGTAATAATGCTTCAATAAACACTAGTGTCAAAGTATCTATTAGATTCCCTTCCTTCAAATATTTGGTATATACATAGCAGTGGAACTGCTGGATCACGTGGCAGTTCTACATTTACCTTTCTGAGGATCACCAAATTGTTTACAAAAGTGGCTGAATCATTTTATATTCCCATCAGCAGTGTATCAGGGTTCCAATTCTCTACCTTCTTGCCAAAGTTCATTTTCTG